TAATATAGACGGAACGTATCCAACATGAGTATAAGGTTTGTCATGAATAGTAGCCAATGTTGAATGTGGTATCATTGCTGAAATGTCAAGGCGGCTGGAGTCATTGTTCGAAATAGTTCTTCCGCAACAGACCTTTGCAAAATGTCCTTTTTTTTGTAACTTGAAACAGACTACTTTCCGAGCTGGTAATTTCGATCGTTGGTGTCTACTATTACCGCAGAAAAGGCATTTACTTCTAATAGTCATGGCTGTATTATCTGGCAACTATTCAACATCGAAATTGTTAGATTGTATTGTTAAAGGTGCTGCTCCGACGGAAGTGTTTCTGTTTATAGCATAAGGTTTTTAATTCCGAACGGCAGTTTCCAATGATTTGACTTGATCAACCATTTCGTCCAGTGTCAATTTCTTGTTCTCCAGCAGTCGTTGGCGTATCCAACTAGAATTCAAGCCACGTATAAAGGAGTCCCGAATATATTCGTTCTGTTATTCTTTAGCAGATACGTTCTGGAAGTTACAATCTTTGCTCAATTCTGTTAATGCTCTCAAATATTCAGCGACTGACTCAGAAATTTGTTGGGATCGCGTGGCCAACATATGACGTGCATATATTTCATTCTTTGGCTGTACAAAGATCCTTTTCAACGTATCTATGGCTTCTTCATAAGTTGTGATATTTCTAATATATCTATAAGTTCTCGGAGACAAATAGTTTAATAATACTCTCATTTTATCCAGTCCTTCAGTGGGTAAGGCTTCCAAGAAATTTCAAATGTCTTTTGCCAATGAAGCCATTCGCATTCCGCGCCACGTGTATCAGGATCTGTGTGTAATTTCTCAGGCTTTAAAATTTCATCCATTGTGGTTGGTTGTTGGTTCGTTAAGTTATGTTTAATAAATTGTTATGAAAGATAACAGGATACCGATTCTAGGCTTTATTAATTATAAGAACACCACTCCGCCACTTAACACTGCAAACAATAGAATAACACGCATACAGTAATGTATTTAGTACGACGGAACTAGGGTAATCAAGAGTACTAACACCACAATGTGTGAAAAAAAAATTGGAGTGAAGCGGAACAGACTCACATCACACGGAAGACAAAAAAAGGACACACGGAACTCAGAAACAGATATTCAGGTCAGAACAATGGAACAATTTTTATAGAAACCGTGGGATTCTTTGCACCTCTTCTCTATTTAAAGACCTAGGGGTCTTAAAGAAAACTTTATCATTAGCGGAACTGAGCAAAACTCCTAATTTACAATACCATGCTCCTCTGCGGAAAGATGGGATGAATATCACATTATATTTCGTTGCGTGATGGAACCATTTTGTTTTTGTTCGTTAGATTATGTTTGACTTTGGTTGCTCAACTTGGTTGTTCTATATATATTGTAATTCATATATACTCCATGTGAATTTACCAACGTACCAAACGCAAATACCAACGTAAAGGGGGATTTACGTTATTTAGTTGGAAGAAATGATCGCAACGCTGGCTGATCCTGGATTATTTGTAATGGCAATTAAACGTTAATACAGTAAGCAAAATCATACTCACAATCGTACATAATCTTGATTTTCAATACATATGTTCTGTGCAGATGTTCTCGGACACTTTACGAGTGCAAATGTAACGTATATGTATGTAAATATGCTGCCGCTGCTGGGAGCGAAACATTAGTTACTTTGACGTTTTTTATTTTTTTATCAGTATATATACAAGTAGATTTTACCGTCGACCTCAATATATCTATCCTTGGATATTTCCCGATGTAAAAATATTACGAGCATAGCCTACATACTGAAATTCCTACAATGTTCCCTCTCGGGCAAAATGTGCATGCCGGGGTAGTTTGATACGCTACCCGCGAGGGAAAATGTAAAGAAATGTGTTTAGTAAGGTTAAAAGTAGGTGTTTGTTCTGGGTTCGTTGGAAAACCCTAGTCGTTGCGCCGGACGAATGGCGGCATTCGTCCGGCGCAGTGCCCCTGACCTCTTCAGTCCATTAAATAGTTTAAATACCAGGTTATAAACTGATCACCCCTAGTGGGAGTCAATTAACTTGTATGACCCAAATATGGCGTCTCTACCTATTACCATTCTCGAGATATAACGTAAAATCACTGGAGCATGACTGAGGAGTTGGAAAAAAAAATTCTTTTAAAATGGATTCAATTAATTTTTCCAAACATGCCAATGCTTTTACTTTGTCGATAAGACCTCTTAGAGGCCTGCAATAGGCCAAAATCACTAGACCATGACTGGGGGGTAGGAGAAAAAAAATTCTTGAAAAACGCATTAAACTAATTTTTTCAACCATACCTATCTATTTTATTTCTCAATAGCTTCATTTTTAGGTGCGCAACCTTTTTACGCCACTGGACGGCGATTGGGAGGGGGAAACACCGGTTTTCGGTAAAGAAAATTTCAATTAACTATACTCTTCGAAAATTAGGCAAATCTTTGCCCAAAACCCCATTCACATGCCCAGTGACGTAGCAAGACTCTCCTGGGCCCCCCCGCAAAACTATTTCGTGGAAATGACCCTAAAAACTTTCGAACATAAGCTAAAACAAAGTTTTTTTTTTGTTCGTCAAAAAGCATAACATGTCGCTATAAAAAGGCTATGGTAACCTAAAATTTGCGTCTTCGTGTTAGCAAACTCATCCACCATCTTCGTCATATCAATTTTTTCAATTTGCTTCAAAAATCAGTAGCTTACCTGTGATAATTGTCGTGTAAGTTTTGAGAGAAATTTCATTCGCGCCGGCGCCATTACTTTTGGAGACTGAACACGCATCTGGTTTTCTACCGATACCGCCGGTGCTAGGCTTAATTCCTTCTCAGTTACGTTCGGTATTCCGAAGTCTAATTGTTTCAATTTTGGTTTAAATATTTCGTTTATCTTGGTTATTTTAATTTTTTTATACGTTCTATCTCTTCTGCGCTTTATTCTTCGTTTTTGTGCGCCACTAAGAGGTTTTGCTTTCGACATCAATCTGACAGCCTTCGTAATTGTGCCGGACTGCCGGTGGCCGGTGCGATCAAACCACACGACGCCGAAAATCGACGACTCCGGCATTGTGACGTAACAAAACGATTTGAGCAAAACTAACATCGACATTATGAGATGTGCATTACTGCTTTTGCAATGCAGCTTTTGGTTTTGCGGCTTAAATTTCTAAATTTTAACCGCTTGGGGCCCCCTTTTCGCTGTGGGCCCCCCGCGACCGCGGGGGTTGCGGGGGTAGATGCTACGCCACTGCACATGCCTCAGAATCGCCAAAAAACAATAGGACTCAAGTGAGCGTGGCTTTGCACGAGTTTTCTCACCACAGAGAGCGAGAGGGCGCAGCCCCACCGCCAAAAGTACTTGAAAAAGTTCCCAGAGCTCGGCCAAACGCTTTCTGGCCCCGGAAACGTAGCTCAAAGGCCTCCAAACCCCAAAATCATACTAGCGTGACTTGATTGGCAGCTGATTTACCCATAACAAGCGTCGGGCCACTAAAAGCCCGTTTTGGCCCACTTCCTTTGGCACGATCGTTCCCAAAAATTTTCTGTGTTCGTTTGGTATCTGTCCCCCGCTTCATGTCACCAAGCCGACCCTCGTCTTTTCTCCGTTGACAATCACTACAAGGCGAGGTTTTCAGAAAGTTTCTATAGTATCTTAGAATAACGGGTATATTGCTGACATTTACAACATTTGTCAAATTTAGTGTGATTGCTACATTAGGAGCCTGTAGTACCAATCAGGCGGACACGGCAGATGAGCGATGACAATAAGACCAGCCAACACGTCGTATTACTCTTTATATATCCTGATTATATGTATTGAATGTTTATTAGAACCTGGAACTGGAAATAAACAGTCTAGATAAGAACCAAACAGGCGTCGGTGCTATTTTCGCGAAGAGACATTTTTGTATGTCTGAATGACCCCATTTTTTCAGCCCGCGTTCTAGCTAGCAGTCATTATTCTGAAATATGTACGAATCCTATTGTGACTAGGGCTGGGCATTTCGAATCGAATAGTAAATTATTCGAATCGGTTCAGAGCAAAATTTCGCCGCCATCTTGTTTTTTTCGTTCCGCCAATGGTCGAGGGAAATTTCTCAATTTTATTATTGAAGCCATATTTTCCCAACGCAATTCTGACATACGACTCTTTTCTGTAGCGAGTTATTGATGAAAACGGTTTTCTATTGTGTGAACGCTCAGCAATCTGCCCGAGTGATGTATTCTATGTTTTCAGTAATTTATGTGTCTGGAGGACCCAATACAATAAGAAAGTTATATCTCAATTTTATATCTCCCAAGTATTCGAGATTCGATTCGAAATAAAAAATCGATTTTGGAATCATCAGGTATTCGAAAATGCCCAGCCCTGATCGTGACTAAGTCAACGAGATTTACTCTCGGAATATGGTTTAAGATATCAATAAAAAAAAGCCGTACAGAAAGCATCTTCGCTGCTAAACTAGGTAGCTATTATCGTATGCGCGAGTAAAGAAAAATAATTTCAGTCTTCTTCAGTAAGTACATGCACATACTCTTTGAAACACCGTTTCATTGGAACTTTGGGAATTTTAATCCTTACCTTTGGTTTTCTTTTCTCTCACTATCCCTGGTTAGCTTTTATCATTTTATCGCCTGTTGCGCTGACCACATACGAAACGTAGACTACGTTATTGTGGGGAAGCAACCTTGGACTGTGGTAATTTATTGGCATCGGGGACCATCGGAACATTTACTCAATGAGCCAATTGGGCAAGAGATGATGAATCGTGTAGTAATCTCAATAGAAGACAACTTTCCTCCGTTCGACATCCACCTCATTATTCGATTTCTAAACTCATGGGCAGAAAATATCTTCTCCTTTTACGACGTGACATCAAATTCAACAATCATTAGAAAGTAAACCCACCTAGCAGTTTCTATAAACTCACAATCTCCTAATGCAAAAGACAACACCATAACATAATCGAGACAATTAGTTCATAAGCAGTTTTTTGGGGCCGCGACAAAGAAAATTTGACACAATATAGTATAAAACAATTAAAACTCAAATACCAAGTAAAACAGAGCACAAGATATTTCTTTGTCAAGTATGAGCCGATCTAATTGTGAGTAATAATGACAACGCACAGCTGCAGGCTGTTGATAATAATTCTTCGAGTTTTACTAAGAGAATTTACAGAAGACTCCAATATCTCAAGTAAATTACAAGTGACAAATCTCCTACGCGAGTTGCAAAAAATTATCAAATCAGTAGTCCCTGTAACATACTTTCCCTGTTAAGTGTTGCAGAAGAGTTTTCAAAAACTTATACTTACTGAAAATTTACAAATGAATCATGCGATGTCAATCACGAAAAGCTGATTTTGCACCAGACTTACCTACTGTCAAAATAACAACAAATCTATTTCGAATTGTCTTGGAAATTACTATGCAAGCAATACAACAAATTCTCTAGCTAAAACAAATTATTCATAAGTTCATTGAATAGATAGATATACAGCAAGTTCAACCAAGGCTGTTAACAATTTGATTTTATCATGGTAAAACAAAACGTCTGTCATAAAAACAACTTCACACAAAGATATATATACATTAGATGCGGCCAAACATAAAAATATAAAACAACCTAAGTGGGTACGAGTTGAGTTTTTAAAAACGACACCTTAGAATATCAAAGATTCCATATTTTCACTAAACTATAGATCACACTCAACTCAAGAAGCAATAAAACATTTAGGTAACAATGAATAGTATAATTTTCAAGATTTGTATCAGAAGTCACCAACTGAATTTCCATATTATTGAAACATTCAAGAAGTGTTTAAACTATTAAGCAGGTTGAAAATTATCCTCTTACAATTTTGAAAACGACCTTTTGTTAAAAGAACAGCAATAATCGGTTGCCTTTGCAATGATTGTGCAATCAAATTCAAGTTGTGTATGAATTGCCGTAGTAATGTTCCATACCTATTGACATCCTGATAACTTTAAGTCGAGGTAACAATCATTTCAGAACAAATTACTATGTACTCCATCAGTTAACTTCTAAAACAAACAACACAAAAAAAATACAAACTTCATTATACAATGTAACTACGAACTACCAAATATCAGCGTTACCAAATTTAGCTTGAAAAATTCTAAAAAAAGTTCTTCGAGGTTGTTCTATTGAATACTTTTTGTTCAGCTTTACGACAAAAACATAATCAGCTTCAGGATGATCACAAAAAAACAATTCATTCCATCAGCCCGAAGCGTATGAATGACCCTGAATAAAATTGATTGGCACAAATAATCACATATATATATAACATCGCAACTACTTGGTTTCAATAATAAACCCTAAAGTTCCGCAGCCCCATACTGCCTTCATATACAACTGATAGTCAACGATAAGTACAAGTGGTACGTTCTCCCAAAAATCTTTGATAGGCTCGCTTTCACCTGTGTTTGACAAAAAACTCATACCACTGTTAAATACAGTAGTATGAGCGACAAACACAGGAAAATTATGCGACAAAACACGGCATTGAGAGCAATCGAATACCGTACAAATGATTCTTAGTCAGCTTCTTCTTCATCTTCTCCATCCTTGGGATCAGATTCGTACGGAGCTTGATCTTGTTCCGCATATTGATCCTCTTCCTGATCACAATCACGAGCAAAGTGGCCCTCCTTATTACACCTAAGATACATGAATATATTTAGAGGCACAAATTAAAAAATTCTACAAAAAAATTTTAATACGAATTTGTATATATATTTACATTATTATTCAATTCAAGTGACCAACTAACAGGAAATTTCAAGACTAGCGCAAAACTGATTGAAAACATCACACATCTGTTTTGTTTTAAACATGGTGAAAAGTGTAACATTAAATATTCTTGTACAAGAATTTTAAACCACAAATACCCAACCACAATTCAGTATAAATGAGATATCATCTGCTATTACCTGTAGCACACCATAGATGGGCATGCAAATTTCAGATGCCCTGGTTTTCCACAGTTGAAACAAGTCTTTTCACGTTCATAAGGAACGTTTTCTTCTGGGCAATCGCGGGAAGAATGGCCAAGCTTCTTGCAACGGAAACATTCCTTTTCCTCAGTGCAGTCACGAGAAACATGTCCTGGCTTGCGGCAATTGTAGCAAACTAAATGGATAGAGATAGTAACTAAGCATAATTTCTTAATGGAATAACTGATTAGTAGTAACTACATTGGTTGTCAATGAGAAACCAACAAGAGAAATTGACTTTGATAAAGCGGGAATGTCATCAGTTTTGTATTTTAGTTATATCACGATTTTGACCAAAATGGCTGCTGAAATCATTATTTTTCAACGTTGGAAAATGACTAATAATAATTGTACTGATATCCCTTAGTAGTGCTCCATATTTTTGACAACATTTATTTTTAAATTGAGAGTCCGCTAATATTCTTCCAAATTTATTTTATTAAGCCTTTTTCTAGTTTTGACTGTTTCCTAAATACTTTTTACACAGACTCACTCTCAACCCATATAAATACGATAAAATATTAATCTCACAGTGAAATGAAGGAGTGATCGGACAAATACTCCAACACAACAATGAAATAAAATGTTTATAAATCTCCAAGTTTTTCTTAGGCTGTCAATGTCTTTCAATTTAAAAATTTGTTTATAATTCCAAACATAAAACTGAAATTTTGCAATTTTTCATGTATCGGTAATTGAATTTTTCACTGCAATTTCCCAGCCCAAACTTATTACCGGTATATTCTTGAAATCCAATTATTTGTTGAGCTTGACGTCAGAAATTTTTTAACTTACTGTCCTCCTCAGTTGTGCAATCACGAGCCCTATGGCCAGGGTCACCACAGCGATAACAATGGTCATTCGATGGTCTTCCACCACGACGTGGACCGCTTCCTGGTACACTCTCATCTTTAAAGAAACATTGAATATATATCTATATATATTGAAACAGCCAAATCAAATACCTTATTTGATGAGTGTGCAAAAAAAACATTCCAAAATCTATACAATATATTAAATTTGCTGCAAATTTGATCATATCCAAGGATTAAATCACCACAAGGTAATTATAGAGATCTTATTAATAATATTTATAGAGTAACATTATTAGGCATGATACTTTTCAGCTTTTTAGTGTTTCATTGCCAAATGGCAACAGATATAGAGAAAAGATAATTATAATAAAGGTAATCAGAATTGAATATTATCTGAACAATATTCGAATTGTTAAAAATCTTTTTGGAAGATCATTAATTTAAAATTTTACTCCCAATCAAACTCCTCAAACAATATTTCATATTGTTGACAACCTTAAAAAATCCCATTGACCTAGATTTTCAAAAACCCTAATTCAATATGTATGCCATAGAAATAACAAGACTTTTCTTTCGAAAAAATTAGACAAGACAAGGTGCAGACTCAAGGTCAATAAAATTTAACAAAATAATATATTAGTTGTGGTGTATATTCATAAATAAATGCAAAAAAAATCCATGTTATTATTTGCAAAGTTTATTACTGATGTCTCAGTCAACGCTGAGCAATTAAATAACCATATACGTAAAGCTGTTGAATCACACCGAATTTCAACAATATCAGATCATTTTTGTTAAGATATGAAAAGCAAAATAAAACTCACTTGTGCAGTCACGAGCAAAGTGGCCTGCCATTCCACAACGGTAGCATTTGGCTGAAATACAAAAATATCAATATGATGAAAATTGAAATAAGCATCACACAAAATAAAACAAAGAACAATTGCGGGATTATAGCCAAAATTAGTGTCCCTACTACCATATGGAGAATATAATATACTACAAAATCATGACTGCCTCATTTTCTTCATCGATATATATTCATGAAATATGATATACAAGAGTATGACAATACCAGTATAACAACTTTAAACAAAACAAAAAACACAAGAATAATAGATTTTACTTGATTGGTATGACGAACTACCGCCATATCTACCACGTCCTCTCCCTCTTCCACGATATCCTCCACGTCCACGATATTCACCTCGATATCCTCCTCTATCATCTCCTGCTTCAGTAGAAGTACATTCTCGGGCAATATGACCAGGTAGACCACATTTGTAACAGTTGCCTGACTGTTGTTGCGATCCAGCACCTTGTACTCTTCCTGGCATCGTTATTAGTTGAACAACTATTTTACATACACTGTGTGAAATATACAGAATTCATGATTAAATAAAAATCAGTTCATGATAAATAGATGAATATATTATATAATGCTAAAAGCGCCATTTTTTATGACCCATCGATCAATACAGACTCAAATGTAAAGTATTTTATTCTTGAGAAACGAGATTACTAGCAGGCTTTCTGTTTTGGTCTTATTACTTACTGCTGTACTGCAGTACAGCATAGTTCACCATTACCAGATTACAGAGACAAGCCTGACGCATATGATACATCTGCCGGCTGCCAGACGCCTTCGTTTCAGAGACAAATAAAATGTTTGTTTCACTGAAACAAATGTCGGGACATCTTGGAATCAAAAAACTGTACTGGTAAAAATGTGAAACATGGAAAACAGCATGAAATGCTTTACTGCTTTATGGCCATTTATTAAAATACAGAAATATCCTACTTATGACTGTATTACGGTAGGTCCCTTGTGATAAACCATAGATTATATTTTCTTGGTTACAGTACCGTACTGCCATACGGTATTTCTCTGATTCCATAATCTTTATATACCAATCTGTACACGAGTTTTAACAGCGTTTCATGCTAACAAACATCAATTTAACGGTACTGATAGATCTGTATATAGGCTACAAACTCTGATTGCTGGATTGTTTAAATATAACCGTATAAGGATTACCGGTATCCTATTTCTGTATTTGTCTTTCAATTTATAAAAGCTTGTTCTAAACACTGCATAGGCTATACATCCACACAAAATAGGAATATTACAATCTGTTCTGTAGAGTCGGAGAGTTTTTGCTTTACAAATACCGTACCGTGCCAGCATCAATTTGAAATAATCAAAAATTTTGGTCTATACAGCTACCACGAACAACCACACAGAATCGATGCTAAAACTATACCGTACCAGAAATCAATTCAACATTCAAAAATATTCATTTTCACTATTTATTGAACGACTAACAACTTGTCATCAATGTTTTAGAATAGTAATAAATCGAAAATTCCTAAAATCTGAAAATAGATCAGCCAGTGACTGAGTGACGCGGCAGCGACAGTGATTTCGGAGCCGAAAACAGTTAGCACGTGAGGTGGTTTTCGGAGTCTCCTCGTACCTTACGATATGATTCTGATTTGATGTCATTTATTTGAATAGTTACCGCCGATAAGTTTGAGATAAGTAAAAAAAAAAAAAATTTTTTTTCTTTTCATGAAATGTCATTTACTTCAGTACAGTACCGATATCGGTACGTTGCTATTTCTGTATTGTGGAGCCAGTGCGCTCCCGTCAGAAGTAACGAAAGCACCACCGCGCCACTGACCAGACTTTAACTTTAATCAGTAGTTATCAAATGAATATAGTACATACCTTAAATCAAAGAAATTACAAGATCGAATTAATGACGATATATACATGTAAATGTATGTAAATAAATACATTGGTAGGTTGCGGCCTCCTCCGCCACATGTGGCCCGCCGCTTCAATGTCTGTGGCCCGCGTCACATTCGAAGAGTAATCGAAAAATCGCATTTTGTGTTGTTTCGTCATAAAATTAATCAGAAAAACCTTTTGACCTATTGTCATCACTATTGTCAGTGATGTCACTGAATTAAATAGTGTCATGGCTAGCTGGGGAAACTAGCGAAGTTGAACGATGTGCTTGGCAGTCTTAATCAGGGTGGTCCAAACCTAGGCCCCGCGGGCCACATTTGGCCCGCCGCTTCATTATCTGTGGCCCGCGTCGCATTTGCGCGAGAGTGAACAAAAATCGCATTCGGTGTTGTTTTCTCATAAAAATAACTAGAAAAATCATTTGACATATTGTTACATCACTAATGTCAACGAACTGACCACTGTTATTGCTATCGGAGGCAACTGGCAAAGTTGAATAATTTGCTTGGCCAGTCCAAATTGTTTATTGGCTTCCTATCTTTTTGGTCGGGAATATATGCTTCATAGTAGCCTAAACTATAAATCGAATGGGGAATCTATTAGCCTAGGTTGGGTGTGCCTGATAACTAAATATTAATGTAATGACCGAACAATATAATTCCCGACGGGTGTTTCTTTTTGCGACCAGCCCCGTATGTTAGTCGTTGGACCAGCCTGAACAGTGTTACAAAAAAATGCTGCCAATATGTCAGAAATTTAGTAATTATCCTCCTTTAACTCAAATTTGGTGAAATTCGGTAATCAATCAATCTCAGTTATTTGTAAGTTAATTTTTAAGTATGAGTTTGAAAAGAAAGTTGACTATTAGATTTTTGACTAGATATGGGAGATAAAATATCACAATGCTTGCTTAATATGTCAGCAAGTTGTGTTGGTGACAATCTAAAACAGTATTTTTTCTTTATGGCACTTTTTCCAAGATGAGGAGTTTGAAATCTTACACTAAATGTATTTACAGTAAGATTTTTGCACGTTATACTGATATTTTTGGTGGTTTTAGCATATGTTAGCTTGATAAATGACAAATAATGATCAATGTGTTTGTGCAATAAAGTAGTCCGGCAGAATCGGGCCTTGAGATTGTTTTGGGACATAAAGTTTTTTTATTGTTTAGATATAATGTATATGACATATATAATGATACCCAGGTGGGTGTGGAGTATATAATGTTGAGCAATTTTTTTAAGTGGATTCAAAGTATTCGGTCCAAGATGACGCACATCCTAAACCCTAACCTGGTAAACATACAATGTTCAGTTTGTGCGCCATCTTGGTACAAATACTTCAGGAGCGCCTTTTTGTTAAAAACAATTATTTCATAACTACATGGTTTAGTTTTGCATACATAGTAACATTGAATCTCCTTACAATGTCAGAAATTCAATTTTAGTAGAATAAATGGTAGTTTATTTCACTAATATAAGCCAAGATCCATCGACAGCATCTAGCTACTTTCTATTACGCTCTTCAAACTACATTTGCGTTGCCGCGCGCATTTCGTTTTCCTAGTTTAGGCTTAGGGACTTGGTAAATATTTTATTAGTTGAATTGGATTGGAATATTTGACCTCGTCTTCCACTCCGAACAAGGCCATGTAAAACCATTCACTGGTATCTAAAGATGTGTAACGCGTTTTCTTTTGGAAGAACCGCAACCTTTCAGTGCTGCATTAACTTTGGCAAAATTAATATATCCTTGTGGAGATAGAAGGTTTGCGTATGCGAAACCGAGATGTGCACCTGTTATGCCAATATAGTTGAGTCAAACGTTTTGAATACTAGTACATCACACACATTTTCCTGCGTGCTTCGGTTGTACGTAGTAACGCGCACATTTTTGCGCACATGCATCAAATTCCACTTGAATATTGAGCTATAGCTTTTTGACGAGCTTTTGTGTATGATTTCAATCCATAGAATTTGTATGCTGTTCTAAAGAATACTAGTTTCAGTTTTTTCGTTCATTCGAACCGCGTGTTGAAAGTAAGTTTTGTAATATTGCGTGTTGGTTTCCAACATCCTTAAATCGGTGATGCCAGTAAATCTTTAATACAAAAAGATCAGTAACATCTGCAATAAAAACAGCAGTACCCACTCAAATGACAGCTGGGGGATGGATACTCTTAGTATCTGCTCCATCGCGTGCCTCTTACAGTCTTACCAGTTTACATGAGTGCCAATTGGTATCTAAGCTCAGCCAGAGAAAAAAGTTTCGGACTGCAGTTGGCGTGACGAAATGTTTTTAAATATATATTCTATAATAAGATTATTTGATCGCATACTACTGAAAGTTCCGCCTTATATGTCTTTTCCCATTGCACTATTCCTTTACAGATATTCGATAATATGCCGCTCATCTGACATGGTTCTAAAAGTGTGTAGATGGGTATAATCTTTTCCACGCTGTTCAGATGGGAATGCGCGAATATATAGAAGAATTGCTAATATTGGTTTGCAATGCGATGAAATCCCATCTTGGCATTTCTGCCTCTCGCAATTGCTGCGTATACTTATTGGGGAAGTTCTGTGGCGTGCTTATCAAATGAAAAAAAAAACATGGGAGTATTTTTTCTACTTCTGTTCTACCACCAAACTTTGACATTTTGTGAAAACGTTTTTCCATGCAACCTTTTTTCAAAACATCCCCAACAACCACAATTAACAAATAATTAATAAACTTCCGAAACAAACACATAAAATCATCAACATATGCATATCACCAAGTGGATATTGCTGAATTGATCTTTATTTTACCATTTTTCATGTAATTCTTTTTGGTAAACCTGTTATCTATCGTAAATACAGCACATTTGACAATGTTGTAGTGTGACTATTTTGGCCTCACATTTTGATATTTGTAGTTAGAGCTCTTGGGGCTCTGTCAAACAAAGTTACATACAAAATATTGGTTGTAAATTGCAAAACATGATCATGTTGTTGGAATAACTTACCACCCGTATATCATTCATTGTTGAGAATATTAATAAAATCATAAAATTTAAAAATCCGTTTTCGTGAAATTTTTGTTGTAGCTGAATTCCATGGACAGCATGACAACAGGCAAGAGAAGCACGGTCGCCTCTTTTAGTTTATGACAGGGTTTATTAAAAGGGGACCCCGTCCTCCTTGAAGGCCGCTGATCGGTTATTAAGTGTTGAGAGTCTTTGGTAGTTTGAAAAGCATTGGCATGGAACATAAGAATGAACTACATTCTTTCCCAGGGATATATATACTATAAAATGTAGCAATTTTCTCATTCTTGTTCTCGTGATATCATTATCTTCCACTGCGTCGTCGTGATCATCCCGCTGCATAACAATTCTCGCTAACAAATAATTGACTGTTCTCCACCGGGTGTATATCCACTTGAACCACTGGCGACTGCATTAGCAGGCTTGTATTGTTAATTGCAACGGAAACGGGTATTTTGAAATAGTACTCTCTATTTTACGCGTATGTTTCGACAGTATTTCCATATACTGTATATGGGTCGCGACCCAGAGCTGGGCTCAACAAATACCTAAAAGTTAATGATTTTAATTCCTGGTAAATTTGGTGCTTACGT